CTGCAGGAGAAAGATGTGGCAGTCTGCTTCCGTAAAGATTTACAGCCTTGGAAACACTATCGGGCAATTCTACTCTGTCCTACAGAGTCGCTATGAGCCAGAATCGACTCGATGGCAATGGGTAATCATATCATATCATTAGCTTAAAGCTGAGCTCAAAACCATTTCTTGGAATCCCTGGATTTGCAAACGTTAGAGTGTATCAGCATCAGCTGCTGAGGTTATTCAACCACGAGTGCTGGCACCACTCCCACAGTTTCTGATTCAGTAGGTCTGGGGTGAACGCGCACTTCTAACAAGGTCTCAGGTGATGCTGATGCTGGGTGAAGGGACTACATTTTGAGAACCTCTGGTCTGTAGGTGGTTTGTCCACACGGCCCTTCATGACTCAGACTGCTGTATCCCTGGCTGGCCTTATCCTTCCTGTTCCCTCTCTTGGGCCCCAGGCCCTAGACACCCTCCCAGGACCAGTTTTCTCATGCCCACTTCTGCTTATCCCACCCCTGCTCCTGCTCTTCCCTGCTCTCTGTGCCTCTCAAATCAAACTCTACCTGCCCAATTCTCCACCTCCAAGTCACTTTTCCCACTCTGTGTCCCCACAGCACCTCACTCGTTCCTCTTGGTAGCACTTTAACATAACTATAAGGAAGGAAGAGTGTGGCATCTTGTGGCACTAAGAATGATGATTTCCAGTATGTCATATGTGTGTTTTTTTGGCCAGTAAGTGCAAAATAAGTATGCGCTGAAGGGGGAAAAGGCTTACAAAGGGGTTAAAGGAACTGGAATGAATAACCCTGGAGAAGGGGAAGTTGTGGGCTAACAATCTTCAACAATAGAAACATTAAAATAAAGATACTTTACCAACCAATCTTTACTCCTATCAAAGAACAAAGGAAGAAATTGGGTCAAATTTTGACATGTTGGATTTAGGTTTGCCACAGGGAAGATTTTCCTGACATTCCAAAAACCAAAAATCCAAACCAGTTACCGTGAGTCGATTCTAACTCA